TGCCCCGTGCGCCACCATCCCTCCACCAATTCATTTCTACTGCTGCCTGTCAGTTCACTCCAAAAGAGCTTCATTTTGACACTTCCTTTTTCTTTTTTGAGCAAATTTTGGAAAAACCGAAACCCAAATTATTTTTTGTTATTTGGTTTTTTTATTTCGATTTTCCATTTTTGAGTAATTATTTTTGAGTAAAACTGAACGTTCCATCAGATATCAGTTTGTACAAATTCTGAACTTTTTAGTTATTATTATTATTATTACTATTATTATTTTCAGACCTTTCAAGTTAACTATCATCATCATCATCATTATCACATTATCATCATCAATCAATAATTTTGATTTTGAAATTGTCAGTTCCTGTTTCAAAGGAGGATAAACTCATAAACAGTTCTTAAAATGATTTTGGTTGCATTATATTATGAAAATTCTATGCATTATATTATACAATGCATTGGCTTGCTGTTAATTTTTATAATTCCATGTGAGGTAGTGCAGAGATAGATAATATAGTCTTCTGTTGAACGTGTCAGCACCTGAAATCAGACTCTTGAAAATTCTCTAAGATCAAAGGCCACCACATCTAACTCTTTTGTCCAAGCCTTTTTTTGGCCTTCCCTATCGTAGTGACTTTGCAATTTTTTTTTTTTTTTTTGGTACCATAACCTGTGCATGCACTGTCTCCACTTTCCCCCCACTCAATTAACTTTCTTTCTTTATTATTTTCTTTAATTTATTTATTTTAAAATTAAATTTTTCCATCAAAACGAGAAACCGATTTAAATTATGAGAAAATCATATTATTTTATAATTCAACTAAAATCATCATTCCTGAGCTTTATAGTAATTTTATAAAATTTGAAAATGTTCAATCCAAACGTAGCTTTAACAGAATTCTTTTTGTGAGGTCATCCCAACTTTTGAATGATTGGTCCAAAGAGGATAAGCTCATCATCATCACCATTTCTTATTCATCATCTAAACCTCCTCTTCTGCTAATTTCTGCATATAGCTTTTGTCTTATAATAATAATAACAAAAATGTTGGTGGATACTGCATTTAGAATAATACACTATAATATACTATTTTACTGTATAACTTGCACGCATGTTTTGTTTGTGCTTGCGTATGTTTAATTAATTAATTAAGGTCCTAATCCACTAATTAATGTGGATGTTAAAGTTGATAGGTTCTTTAAAATAATTGGCATTGTTAGTAATTCAAAAGCTAGCACAAATCTTGATTATCTTTTAATTAATTGATTAATTGTGATTAATCAATTAATTGTGACACGTGTCTATGGACAATAGATTGAAATATTTGGACAGTAGGTCATAATAGATATTTGTACGTTGATGAAAGGATTGGTCAGTATCAATATTCTTCCTAGTACTGTCACAAAATAAAAAACAGTTGCCAAACTTCCAACCAGTAGACGTGCCACACTGTTCCATCTCTATCTGTATATTTATTGATTTAGTTATTATTATTTAATTTTTCATGAATGATGATCATCCACGTGTTTTGCAAATCATAGCTAAAATGATGTTTTTATTGTCTCCAATTTTGGTGATTTCAAACCATATTTTTTAACTAAAAAATGAATGAGTATTGAGAGATTAATCAATATCATTGGCAGACAAAAAGTATTTATATATATATATATATATATATCAGAAGAGAATCAAATTATTTCGATTAAATTTAAATTTAAAATTAAATTGAAATAAACTAATTCAATTTAGTTAATTTTAACCGTAACTGGCAAAATAATTAATTAATGGTGTTTGGCTATGGTTGAAAAATGACCCATCCGTTCTTGCTACATAAATAAATGTGGGTTTATGTATTGTATATTTTGCTAAGGCTCATAATATGTATTTTGAAAGAAAAAGTTATTCTTCTTAAAGATAACTTATTTTTCTCTTTAACTAAAAAAATATTTATTGTAAAATTACTAATTTTCAAAACTTCAAACCCTAAAACATGTGAACCTCTCATTTGGCAGGATCTGACACTTAAATATTTTTGAATAATATATTGAACCGTGAGGATTTGCAAAGTATCAAAAACCACAAAGGCCTTAATTAATTGAATTTGCTTATTATGCTGTTTGCATATGGGTTGCCCCACCATTAGCCATTAGCTACCCATTTCTTTAATAACATCAAATAGACAACAACCATAAGCTAGGCACAGGCAATGTGGAAAATGCACAATGCTTACTTATCATCATCATCTTCATCTTTGAACCTAACTAAATAACTTGCGTAAGCAGATGCATGTCAACTTCAAAGCTTTTGGCTTCTCCATTAATTAATTAATTAACTATTAAATTAATTGCATCAACCATAAAAGGTTAACTTGAGTTGTAATGCACATTTGGAAGATAGTTAGTGGTTGAATTAGTTAAACCTTATTTGTCAAACTACATGTGACACCTAGATTGATGAATTTCACATTGGTTAAGCACATTGTGGAAGTACTGTATATAAGGAATGACAAGCTTTATACTAGTAAATGTTTTGACCTAATAAGGTGGTTCTGGATGTTACAAACTTAATATTAGAGTCAAACCTTGTCTCTCTGACTCTCATTCCAAAATTTGAATTTTACTGTTAGAATTATTGAAAACATAAGTTTATGAGCAAATTTGAATAAATGATTATGTTTGATATTTATAATGAACAATCAAGCATATGATCTTATAATGACCAATAGAGTTGATTATGGTCAAGTAAGATTGTTAATTTGCTGCTAATTATGTCATGTGACATTTATCAAATTAGTTTATTTTAATTAATGTATCCATTTTTCATATGCTTCCAAAAAAAAAAAAAAAAAAAAAATAATTAATGTATCCATTTTCAATATGCTTCCAAAAAAAAAAAAAAAAAAATTCAAGTAGTGGGAAAAAAAAAAAAAAAAAAAAAAATTCAAGTAGTGGGAAATTGTGGAATCATTTCTCTGCATACTTTGTGTTGACCAAATGGTCCAAGACTTGGGCCTTGGTCTAAAATACCACATGAAAGCAGAGAAGTGCAATTTCACATATCAAACTAAGACCATAGATAAATATTCATAAGTGGTAATGATTATATTTTTTGATTAATTACATATTGTGACCTCAGACACTCAGTGTTCCATTTTGAACGGAACAGCTTTTTCTCTTTGCTTTTTCTGTTTGTCCTCAAAGATCCATCTATAGAACAAGTTATGACCACAATATCAGGTTTGCCATAATTAATAATAATAATAATAACAAGAACAACAATTATAGAAAATTTCTTGTTACTTTTTTCTAGTCTTGTCATTAGTGCTTAATGACCTAATAATCTATATGTTCATATCTAGATCAAACAAGATCAAGAATAATAATTAAGAATTTTGCAATACTTTTTATGTCATATTTGTTTTGTTTTGTTATAGGATTTCATAGAATCTATTTTAGTGCTATAGTGTTATATATATTTAAATAATTAAAATTAAAATTATATATTGTTATAATTTTTCATATAATTGATCAAAAAAGGTTATCATTTTGTTAAGAATTCGTTTGATATATAACGATTCTATAAATATAATTTAAAATTCATATAAGGTATACATAAAAAATTCATTAACGTTCGATCTATGTTTTTAATTTTATGATATTAATATATTTATATTAAGTTTTAATAAAATCAATAAAATTTACAAATCAGCTTTAAAATAATAAGACTATAAGTTAATTAGCAAGGGTAAAAATTTAATTGGTCAAGATATTATGGTTTCACTCACTAGCAAATATCAAGACTATAAATTAAGTAAACGGGTAATTAACGGTTCTCATCGGGCATGAATTGTCAAATTTGGATCCATCTCGAACCGGACACGGGTGTTAAAATATCCAAACTCATTTTGAATCCGTTTAAATACTATATGAATCCGCTAAAACCGGATCGTGTACCCGCCATCCCTAATTCTGGGCTCATATTTCTGGTCACTAAGCGAAACGACAGCCCCTTTTTTGCATTTCTTTTTGTTCGAGACGACAAGTATTTCTTACACATTAGCAAGTCCAACTTATGGTCGTTCGATGACTGTGCAATAAACTATGGTGAGATCACATCACAGTTAGAGTTCTTTGTTTGAAACAAGAATCTTCTATTCACGTTTTCTGGACATGCAAGAAAGACAGTCGTCCGACGAACGCTTGCCTGATGCTGATAGGTTCACACATCTGCTAGTAAGTGAAACGATAATCGTTTGGCCATTTTAAAGGGAAAAACTAGGTCTAGGATCAGTGTTTAATTAGGATGTTGGCATTAAGGACTACATTGAAGCAAGGTGCATCTCTTAGACTTCTGACTTCTCTGACAGAAAGTGTTAATAATGGCAAGTACTGCTTGGAGCACCCACCAAATATATACTCTGGATGTCTTCCTTTTCTTTTGTTTTTCTATTATTATCCATTCATGAATGTTGCCTGTGTTTTTGTACTGTCATTTACTATTATGGGTATTTTCTTTTTTCCCTTTTCTGTTTATGGAGATATGAAAATGCTTGTTATTGGTATTTATATATTTAGATTTTCTTTTCTTTCTACCATTACTATAATCACATGTTTGATTTACCTTGTAAATAAAATGGGAATAGAGATGAATGTATAATTAACAGAATTTAATGCTATATATTGTAAATAAAATGGGAATAGAGATTGAATGTATGATTAAAGAATTAATGCTATCATATATATATAATATATATATATATATATATTTCCGATTTAACTTTGCCAAATCAAATAGAAAAAAAAATTGAAAATCTATTTAAGGATTGTATATTTCTATAATTAAACTTAAAAGCAATACACTAATTTAAGCAAAATTTACAAATTAAGAAACTAATTATATATATTTCCGATTAACTTTGCAAATCAAATAGAAAAAAAAATGAAATTCTATTTCAAGGATTGTATATTCTATATTAACTCTAAAGCATACTAATTAAGCAAAATTTACAAATTAAGAAACTAATACCCACACAAAAGCAGGCATTTACAGTTTCTTGTGTGCTCTAGGCCCATTTTGCCATTAGTGACATGCCTCCAGCACCTAGTAGAACTGCAATATATGCCAGCATTTGAAGTTTCACATTTTGCTGCAATTTATGCCCCATAAAATCTGCTGCCAAGAGATCCACCAGCGCCATATAATTCAGTAAACCAGCGGATGAAGCATTTAATATTCCTACTACAATTAAAGCTGTAGGGCTGTTTTCACTGTACACATTTGACAAACCAATTCCCAGTGCAATACCAAATGGAGTTGTGGATGAGAAGAAAAATACCATTGTTGCTTTCATCTTCATTCCATACTCAGCCTGAGATAATCATATACACATCATATTGTTAATTATCAATTAGATTATACTAATAATGTTCACTGACCAATAAGGTGTTGGTTGAGGTGATAAGCGATTTCAGTGCCCATAAAGGATCAAGATAAGTTCGATGTTCAGGAAGCCCACCTTACTAGGAGGACAAAAAACCTTTGTCCTTTTACGGATTGAGGGGATTAAACCTCCTCGTTATATATATATATATATATAAAATGTTCACTGGACTCTACTAATTAAGCAGTTTCCAAAAGGGTTGGTAGTCATACCTGTAGTATGCATCCTCCAAGACCCATTCCTTCAAAGAGTTGATGGAAACACAAAGCAGCAATAAGTGGTCTGATTGTGCATGGATTGTCGGAGGCCCCCATTGACAAGCCAATCACTACTGAGTGCACTACAATGCCAAGTTCCAAAACCTGCATGCATATGTCGTACAAAATAGTACTCAATAACCATATTTACATAACATACGGTACATTACATTCACATACATAAATGGACTAAAATTCTTTCGTTTTAATTTTTTTTCCATAGCAGGACAAATCCGCCTTTAGCAACTACTGCAGAAATTAATGGGAAAGGCATGAATTTTAACAAATATTTATACCTGAGCCACAACACGATGCCTTAACAATGGAGAATCAATCCCACCTGGGCTCTCTTCAACCTTAACATTAACTGTCTCTCCATCTTCATTTCCTCCTTCCTGAACGTCATCTCGAACACCTTCACCTTCACTTCGAAGCTCATGCTTCTTATAGTAACTCAACGCAAATGAATCCACCATAAGGGTAATGAGAGCCGATAACATGGCAACGAATGTAGTGAACGGAAATTTCCTCCAAGGGTTTTCAGGCAAACACTCCGATGTCAAGCAATTAAAAGAGTCAGGTAAAACGTGCATGTACCCTGTCGCTAAAATAACGCCAGAAGCAAACGCTTTGACGATTGAGAATAAACTTTTATCAGGTGAAAGAGCTGGAACTGCCCGTGAAAACAATGGCAAACATACTCCAATCATGCTTGTAACTAGAATTGAAGCTATTGAAATTAGCTTGAGCTTTAAAGATTTCGCCTTGTCGTGGCATTCTCCTTGGGTTTTGGACTGGCATTGTTCGGCGGCTAAGGCTGGTAATGCGAAAGACAGAATTATAAGAAGAATAGTGATATTAACTCTCAATGCCATTTGAGAGTAGTTAAGCTAAATATGCCTTGTTAGTGAATTTTGCTGGTAGCGAGTTGGTGTATATATATGGTTTCCGGTGGGTCTCTATGAAATAGTCTTTCTCTACGACTCCACCTGAATAGAAGATTTCAAGATCGGAAGTAGTGATCTGAATTCACGAAATGACGAAAATACCCCATTTGAAATTATAGTGGTTTACTGCCTCTGGTTTACAAGAGGGTGAGAATGGTGTAAATTTTGGTAAAAAGTTGGGTATTTTGGTCAGCTTAAGAACGGCAGTGGAAAACTTGGGGTGGCGTGTCTGCTTATGACCCACAAGAGCTTTTCACTGTATAGTTTTACGCACGTCAGCTACTTTTGCCGACGTGGCAAATCCTCATCACGCCACCTTATCCATTCACCTCGAACCTCGGAAAACAATCTCCCTCCTCCTGGACCTCCTTCTCATCTTCTTCTAATCTTCTTCGCTGCCAAATCTTTACTCCCGCGCACAGTAAGCCTTACTCGCTCTGAAAAATATGAAACCTCGCGCATTACTGGAAAGCAGTCTCTCAATTTCACATTCTCCATATCTTCAATCTCGTATCAGAAGGTCTCTCCCTCTCGCAAAGTCTCCATCAACACTCGCATTTCTCCAACGAACCAGCCGTATTCACTTCAGTCCTCTTCGTCCTCATTCTCTAGTTTTAAATCCTGAATTCAAGGTATTTTGATTCTCTACTTTTCTTATGATTTGTTTCTTCGTCATTGTGATTTTGGTTTGTACGTTTTGTTATTGGAATTGGCTAGGTTGTAGAAGCAGTGAGATTTGATGGTCCGATAATGAATATTGGGGTTGAGGATTGTGAATTGGTTATAGAGACTTGCATTACACGGACTTTGCCGCCGGCATTGACGCTGGAGTTTGGTCTTCGGAGTATTAGAGAGGCTGTGGAGGAATTGAAGTTGAATCCTCCTCCTTCTAGCAGTGGAGTTTTGAGATTTCAGGTTCTTTTGAATTTGCAATAACGAGGTTGACAAAACCCGAAGAAATGCTCTTCCGAATTTTATTTTATCAAATTCTTTAGGGGAAACTTATAATATGACTCTGCAATTATTTATAGGTTGCTGTGCCTCCTAGTCCAAAAGCTTTGAATTGGTTCTGTTGTCAACCAGAGGCGTCTGGAGTGTTTCCTCGATTTTTCCTTTCTAAGGAGATGGAGAATCCATCATGTAAATCTCTTTATCATAACAGAACCCGTGGAGTTTTTGGAATTGGAGCTGCAATTTACTTTATGAAGTCCTCTTGTCTTACATCAGGGGAGCATGGCTGTACAAAAAGGTTCGTTTTGTTATTTTGCACTAGTGGCTTATTTTCCTCCGTAGTCTAGTACTGGAAACGTCATTCATGGATAGTTCTTGATAGTGCAATTTGAGAGTGTCCCCAGTTTTGATAATGAGTGATTCTTAACCTAGCTAGTATGATATGAACCAAGTTGTTGATTAATGTGTCAATATGGAGGTATGAAGCGAGGAGCACACAACATTATATTCCTGAAAGCATTTCTATTCCTTCGTGTAATGCTTACTATTCCCTTAATAAGAAAATTAGATTTTGTTTCTGTTGCTAGGGTCATTGTGGATGTAGGATAGGGTGAGAATTTGTTTAGATTATGCTTAATTTACCCTGGGCTTAATTTTCAGGAAATTTTTGGGACAACTGTTTTTCATACGAATATTGCAGGAAGAGGAGAGCTTTTACCCTTGATTGATGTTAATGGGTTATTTTCCATAATTGTTCAAAACCAACATCTTTTTTGGACCTTTTATGGTGGCTAAGTAATGCCCATGTAATTTCTCTGCAGATATGTCTCAAGTGATTCTATCCATATATCAACCTATGGTTTTGTGAATATTAAATTTGATGCCATGTCATCATCAATTAAGCATGAGGCTGGTTCTTATTATCTTGTAATTCCTGAGGTACTTACATTCTTGTGCATATTTTCTGCAACTCTTAGTGTTTGCCTTCCTTGAATTATTACTTCATAATATTCCCCCCCAGCAGCAAAATTTTCTATTTTTATGGTTGCCTTGGTTTATAGATCTCTCTCTTTTAGGTTTAATAAATGGCAGCATTTTCCATGTTAGAGACTTTTATGGTAAATTTGCTTTCAACAGATTGAGTTAGATGAGTATGAGGATGCCTCCATTCTATCAGCAACACTGGCATGGGATGATGCTTTCTCTGATACATTTAAACAGACAATTCAATCTTTTGAGTCATCTATTAACCAGGTAATCTGATGTTGTCATGTCATGCAATGTTATATTTTTAGCATTCTTGTTTGATTCATAGCTTTGCATCCATCAAATATGATATTAATCAAAGAATTCATTATTCTAACAAGACAATATTGTTTTGTTTAACTGATATCTAAATGATGTAATTGAGAATTGATGTCTGTGTTTATTTTCACAAGCTGTATCAATTTAATTTGGTGCATGTGATTTTTTGCATTCTTTTATGTTACATTAGTTATGACCAATAGTGTTATATGTAATTTGCATAACACACTATTTTTTTTTCTGGCATGTAATTGGTGCTTCTGATACATCTTGCTTGATTGAGTGCCATCACCAAAAAGCCACTTTATCTAAAGTGCAATTCAGAGCGCGGCAAAATTGTTAAATTTGCAAATATCACAATCTAGCAAAATTGGACCAGAACTTAGCTTGTGCATGTATAGTAGTTATTCTTTATTCATGTATTTAATATTGGTCGGTCTTGGTATTCTGTTTGTTATTGCATAGTGCATATTAACTCCTACCATCCCATGCAGCTGGAAGTATTCTGTACCCTTATATTTGTTGTTAAATTTCCTTTCAGGTCAGTTATCATCTTTGGCCAACTGGAGAGAGATGCTGTTTTGACTGCATTAAATCCTCTCTCAATAAGATCAATGTGGTGGAGGATAAAAATTTTCAAATGGTAAAATTTTTACACTGTTTTTGAAGTCATTTAAGCAGTTTAATTTCTATTTTTGACATTATGATATCATTTTGCAATGTGTGTGTGTGTGTGTGTGTGTGTGTGTGTGTGTGTGTATATATATATATATATATATACATTTAAGAGTTTAATTTCTATTTTTTGACATTATGATATCATTTTGGCAATGGTGTGTGTGTGTGTGTGTGTGTGTGTGTTGTGTGTGTGTATATAATATATATTATATATATATGGCTATAAATCCATGCGCATCTTGTAAATTAAGTTTATCGGAATTGTAAAAGTGTGTGTGTGTGTGTGTGTGTGTGTGTGTGTGTGTGTATATATATATATATATATATATATGTATCAAATCCATGCGCATCTTGTAAAATAAGTTATGATTGTAGAAAAAGAGTATAAGTGTGAGGATACTTTCTTTTTCCCAACAAGGGTTGGGGGTGGAGGATACTTCACTCAGTAAGTTTATTCTTGCAATAAATGTATATTTGTTCTTTGTGTAGTCCTTGAGCAACATGATTTTATAGGTTTCTTCAAATGCTCTGTTGTTGGATGCAAGGGATTACGAAGCTGACCTCTTGGAACTGGTATCTCCTTTTGCCTGGTAATCGTTCATCGTTGTCCAAATCTCATTTTTCTTTACTTGTGTTGTGCCCAGTCTTTTGCCTCAGCTAAACTCTCTTATGCAAATCCAGTGTTCTTCCATAAACTACTGAATGTTGCTACATGCCAACTTCCTTTGCAGAGAGGGACCACATTTATCTCTCAGTTTTATTTTGGGCTTTCACCAACCTTTGGTGTTTCCAGTAACATGGTATGATGCTGTTTTGTTACTTTATTAAAAGTAAATATTGTTGAATTTCTGTTTTCCTAACATCTATGGGAACTGGAAATACAAGGCAGCATGTAGTGGTATCAGAGAAGACTGAAATGAAAAAGGGATGCTGCCTGATATATAGCACAGGCTGCCTGTGCTTATGAAGGGCCAATTACATGTGAAATTCTTTTTATTATTAGCTATAATTGCAAGATTAGGAGGCACTTTATTTAGCTAATTTGTTGTTGACTGCAATATTTCATGTATATATTGTTTATTAAGAGGATGGAAAGTTGAAAGTGCATACTGGAGTTAGTATTTCATAACAAACATGGTATTAAAAAATAAAAAAGAGAACTTTGGAAATATGACTTTTGGGTGCTTCCTGGGCCAAATAAACTTCCATAAACAGTATTATCTGATTCAAAATGTCGCAATCATTATATAGGTTTGGACCTTCTCAATGCATTGGTTATTGTGGCTATTAAAGTTTTTCAAAAATGTTAGAAACAACAGGTCAGATGATAATTGTTCAAGTTTTATTCTCATTTGACTCGCAGTTGGATCATGCCCATGAAACAAGTTTCTCCCTTCAAGATTGTGCAAACATCAATGCAGTTTGGGCATCACTTATAGTGGAAGAATGTTCTCGGATTGGGTTAACGGTGAGAGGCCTTAAATGGCAATTTGATCTAAATCATTTTTCGTACATGTGCCTGACTAGTTTTTGTTCCAGTACTTCTGCATTGCTCCAGGATCAAGATCATCGCCTCTTGCGATTGCTGCTTCTACTCATCCCCTAACAACGTGCATTGCTTGCTTTGATGAGCGTTCACTTGCATTTCATGCTGTTGGGTATGCCAGAGGTTCTCATAAACCAGCAGTTGTCATAACATCGTCAGGAACTGCAGTTTCAAATCTTCTTCCTGCTGTGAGTTTTGTGGAATGTGTATGCTTGCATGGTACAAACTGCTAAAGGTTTCATTATCAGCAGTAATTGAACATTTTGCAAACTAGTGATTTCATATTTCTTGACCTTTGCCTATTATGCATATACCATGTATGCTTTGCTTGTCATCTTTTAAGTCAGTTCTTTCTGATAAAGTTTTTGATTCTGGCATAGAAGTTTTACTTCGAATCAGACTGGGACTTCTTGTTCCGATTCCTTTTCTCTTTCTATCTTTTTTTGTGCACATGTGTCTCCAGGATCCCTCTTATGACTTGAATTGGAATTTTGCATTACATGAGTAATCTTTTTCTTGCTACTGAACTTTTATTTATTTTTCAGGGAAATTTACTTACTCATCTGTTGTATGCATAAAATTGGAATGTTTGTCTGAATTTGTATCTGATACAGAACATTATTCTTAATAAATGGTAAATCTGCAGGTTGTGGAAGCCAGTCAAGATTTTGTGCCACTTCTGTTGCTCACTGCAGATCGCCCTCCTGAGCTTCAAAATGTTGGGGCAAACCAATCGATCAATCAGGTATGGAATGATGAAATATCGTGCAAAAAGTGATCTTTTACAATTTCCATTAGATATCTTGATTTATATTTTTCATGTCATCTGTGTTTTTTGTAATGCAAAAACTTTTTTGTTTAAGCACTTATAAAGCACATTGCTGGATTTGTGTGTTAGGTGGAGCATTTTGGTTCTTTTGTGAGGTTCTTCTTCAGTTTTCCTGCACCTACTGATAATATTCCTGCGCGGATGGTTCTCACCTCACTTGACTCTGCTGTACATTGGGCAACCTCTTCACCATATGGCCCTGTTCATATTAACTGTCCTTTTAGAGAGCCACTGGATGGTAGTCCGAAAAGATGGAGTTTGAGCTGTCTCAAGGGATTAGATAATTGGATGTCTAGTGCTGAGCCATTCACAAAGTATATTCAAATGCAAAATTCACTTGCATGTTATGGCGAAATGCACATCCCTATGGCACAAGTTCTTGAAATAATTCAAGGGGCCAAAAGGGGTCTTCTTCTTGTCGGTGCAATTCATACAGAAGAGGACATATGGGCAGCTCTTCTCTTGGGGAGACATCTCAACTGGCCAGTCGTAGCAGACATCTTGTCAGGTTTACGATTGAGGAAGTTCTTGTCTTATTTTCCTGAAGTTGAAGAGAATGTTTTATTTCTTGATCATCTGGACCATGTTTTGCTCTCGGATTTTGTGAGGGGTTGCGTGATGTTTGATGTAGTTATTCAGGTATAACATGCTCATGTATTCTTTTTCTCTGAATTATTCCCTATGGTGTTTATTTAAATTGCTTTTATAGATGCCTTGGACATCTTAAATCAAGTTGTTCGCAAAGATAGCAGGTTGAATTCGAGTTCTATGTTGCACATCTTAAATTTCTTCTAGTTTTCTAAGTTGCACAGCAAGGGGTTATAATGACTGGACTCTCTAGCTATATGGTTATATTTGTGGCTTTAGGTTCCATATTTGCAGCTGGTTCATAAGGACATCACTATAGTTTCTGTTGGCGAAGTTATTTGCTACCCATGTATACTGATAATCAGCAAAGAATGTGTTAGGCGCTATGATAATGTAGTTTGACATCAATTATTTTCCTAATTGTAAAATATTTGGCTATATTTATGACTGAATAAGATAATTAAAAGTTCCCTTTTGGGAAAATGTGTTTGTAAGATGCTATAGACTGGTGATGCTATGATGCGAAAGAGAAACACTACATGCATTTTTCATCTTTAACATGAAAAACTGCTATTACTTGGAAAGTTCATAGTTGCTGCATTTCTTCCATCTGTCATGCCACAGTCCCCTGAGTGTCCTGTAGTCACAGGAAATTATATGTAAAGTTCTGTCAATGGATGGAAATGTAATATTGTTACTATTATGGCATGTGATTTATGTCGTGAAAATAATACCTGTTATAATTATGATTCTATGGCTCTTACCAATTGCCTTTTTTATTCTGAACTATAAACAGATTGGAGGTCGAATAACAAGCAAACGTATTTGTCAGATGCTGGAGGACTGCTATCCGTGCTCATACATCTTAGTTGACAACCACCCTTGTCGTCATGATCCATCACATTTGGTAACTCACAGGGTGCAGTGCTCCATTCTTCAATTTGTTGACAGTATAATAAAAGCTCAACATCCTTCTAGGAGCAGCAAATGGTGTAGTTATCTGAAAGCTTTGGACGATATGGTATTTGAGCTCTATCATGCTCTTTTTGTTTCTTTTTTTGTTATATGGTGCCAATTTGATGAATATATGAAAGACGCCCTTGTCATTATAGCCAGATAGCCACAGCTTTACCTTACATTGATTGATCTAGTGGTTGACAAAAATATTTGACGTGATGCTAAGTTAGCTCCACATAGTATAATGCCATCATGCTACTGAACTTGTTGCATAATGTGTTGCAGTATTTCCAAAGTTAGCTATAATTTCCTGCATTGAGAGTTTACTATACTTTTGTTGGTGCTTGGTTAAATTTAATTAAATTAAGGTAAGAATATAGTGCCTCTATTTGCAGCCATTCTTTGCTCCAGTGGTTTTCGCACTCATGCATTGCTAGAAATAGAATATTTAGAGAGTTTTACATTGGTTATGCTCCATTTACATTGGATTTCAATTAAACTAAACTTTTATTCTTGTGAGTCTTGGTTCCTCATGTCTACGTGATTTTAAGAATTATTCATATTTGTTTCCACTGCACTTAATATTTTTATTTTTTTCTCTCTGTTCTCTTCTATATTTCTTGCCATCTTCTGTAGGTTGCACGGAACATATCATTTCAAATTTATGCAGAGAGCTCCTTGACCGAGCCACATGTTGCACATGTAATTTCGAAAGCACTTTCATCTGAGTCTGCTCTTTTTATTGGCAACAGCATGGCAATACGTGATGCTGATATGTATGGATGTAGTCATGAAAACCATACTTCTAGCATTGTGGGGAAGGTTTTGAACTCAGAACTTCAGTGTCTTGGAATTAGTGTGGCTGCAAATAGGGGAGCTAGTGGTATTGATGGTTTGCTCAGTACAGCAATTGGTTTTGCAGTTGGATGCAAAAAAAGAGTAAGTCCTTCAGATTGGTCGCATTTCTAAAATGTTTTTGGCTATGAATTTCTGCTGTTGTTTGTGATTGTGATCCAAGAATCCAAGTTGGAAGATATGCTTATGCCTTTGTTTTGAGAAGTAACAACAAATGCTTGACCTTATCAAAAAGTAATGTATTTTCTATAATCAGAAAATATATTTCATCCAAATATGGGGCCAAAGGTAATTACGTTTTTCTGAATAATTGTCATATAAACCTCCATTAATGTATTGCTATTCTGTTCAGTGAAGTATGAAAACTTCCAAGTCCAATAAAATTGATTACCATTTCTTAGAAGTAATTTATTGTAAGCCTTTTAATTAGGAATCAAAACATTCTACGCTAACCATCTTTTATGTTTGTAAAAAACTTAACAAACTACGGGTTTGTGTATTGCCCCCTTCATTTTCTTTTGTATTCACTTAGAAAATTAAGTTGTTTCACCTTTTGCATTAATAGATGTTGTATTTTTCTATTTTTAATTTCTGATTTTTCTGAATTTGTGTTGTTTCATATTTGTTAAGGTACTTTGTGTGATTGGAGATGTGTCTTTCCTTCATGATACAAATGGCTTATCAATTTTGAAGGCAAGGTAGACAACCTTTTGTTATATAGTATGCTGTGTCTTTTTTGTTTTGAGGTCTTATAATCTTTAAAGATTGCTGACAAGTGACATGATTATGGATGATGGCAATGGCATGCCTTAATATTCTCAGCTACATATTTTTCTGTTCTTTAAATGATCTTATAATTCAATTGACACATCATGTCATCATCTACTATCTCTTAGTGTTTACATAAATGAGAAAATTAGTCATAAAGATTTTTTTAATTCACTAGTTATGAAGATCTGTTCTTTCTGAAGGATTTCAAGGAAGCCAATGACAATACTTGTGATAAACAATCATGGTGGAGCAATCTTCAGTCTGCTTCCTATTGCAGATGGAACTGATCAGAGAATCCTGAATCAGTATTTCTACACTTCCCACAACATTTCAATTCACCAGCTGTGTATGGCACACAGGTAAAAAACCTCATCAGTTAGGTGGTTATGTTTAAAATAAGTTTATTTGGGAAATGTTATGGTCCCCATGTGAAACCTGGCCTTGCCTCATGCTACTTGTTTTTCAATGTTAACTTTCTTAGGATAGTGGTAACAGGCATATGGCTTGCATTCTATGTGATATTGAATCATTGTCTTAATTTTAATACTCCAAATAGGATTTCTGATTTACAAAGAAATAACTTGAAGATTATGCCCATCAAGTTATGATCATCATCTGAAAAAAGCCAAGTAATATTTGCCGTGTTCTTTATCTTGACAATTGGATGAGAGTGCTCTTGAGATTCAATGATTGTATTGCTTTTTTCTGGACCTACTCTCCAAATGGTTTGTTTTTGAATCTCTTGTGAACTCATTAAATTGATTGCAGTTTGAGACTTATCGGTAGCTTTATCTTTTCTTTTTTCAGTAAACTTGATTTCTTTCTGACTCAAATACAAGCTCATTAATGGCATGCAGTGTGAGATATGTACACGTGAAGACAAAAATGGAACTTCAAGATGCTTTACACACATCTCAATATGAGAATGTGGATTATGTCATTGAAGTGGAGAGCTGCATTAGTGCCAATTCAACTTTCCACAGGTTGTCTGGTTTGCTTTTCAATCATATTTTTTTCCTCTTGAAGTTAACAGCTTATTGCCTGTGTAATCTGCTGACACATTATGGCTCTCTCTCAGCATATTAAAGAAATCTGCATGCCAAGCAGCAGATCAGGCTTTAAGCATTCTTTCAAGGCTTTCAGTTCCATCTTCCCTTGCAGATGGGTTGTTTGTAAGCGAGATTCTCAAAATGGAGTACTCGCTGTACAGGTTTTGTAAGGAGAATAACTTTGAAATTGTTGCATCCTTACTAATTAGGAGATAGTTTGTTAACACCTTTCAAATATTTGTTGTGACAGAATTCAACTGTGCGCTGCGCCTACTTTAACTTCAGTAGCTTCTGATTGTAATAAATTTCATAAGGAAGGATATATTCTATCATTGTTTCTTGAAGATGGAAGCATTGGGTATGGTGAGGTTGGTTTACTCTGATTCCTTAATCCTTTTCTGGCTATTATTTCCTCTCTCATATCTTCTTCCCTCCCTCTTTAACTTCTCTGGAGTTCTGGAAACTCTGCATAACAGTCTGAAAAGATTTTAATCCTTATTCCCTATCGCGCTGCCATGTTGCTCTTATTTTTTGGTGGAATTTCATTCTGCATGATTAAATATGTGGGATTTCATTTTACACATACACTGTCTTAGTGACGCCTTTTCATTTACTGGAAATATTGTAAAATATATTCAAAAGGTTAACAATGTAGTTGTTTCGTCATTTATAGTTACGAGTGTAAGAGAGTATTCTTAATTTAAAGGAGTTAAGAATGATCATTTCAGCATTTGTTGATGATTCAGTATTCTGTCCCCCTGGTGACACCAAGAATAAGGTTTCTGTTATGGTTGATTGTGTTGATTTCTTGAAACTGAAACATAACAGTACTTGGAAGTTTTTTCTGATTTTGATGGTGAAAAATTAAAAGGGTCTTCCAGTGCATGAGGCCTCCTGTGCAGGGCTCTCTATTGGTAAAAAATTTGAGCAGAAAATTACTTCTTCCTACTTAAATAAGTAGCTTGCCATGCAGAAAAGTTGGATTTTGCACTATTATTATTTATCTAGACCAACAGAAAACCTCAAATGTCTTTTAATTCAATGGTTTATTTTTTCATTTTATTTTATTTATAACTATGGTAAAAGGAAAGGTACACAATACTCACATGCATTTATCCATGCTTGAAAACAAAAACTGTTTGCAGTATAATTACTATCTTTCTTGTGATAGTTATGGATATATATTTTTCACCTTCTTCGTTGACATTTTACATAGTCACACTGGCATTATGTGATGTCCCAGAACATTGCCTATTATCAAAAAGTAGTGAGAAAAATTTTTTCCTGGGAATTTGTTGTTTCCTTAATTTACTCACCAGATGGAGAAGAAGTTTGAAAACAGAATTATGCTATAAAGATGTAAAGGTACACTTCCTAGTTTTGAGGATTACTTTATGCTGCACTACTTTTATTGAACAGGTTGCACCTGTTGATATGAATAAAGAAAGCTTGATGGATGTAGAAGAGCAACTTCAGTTTCTCATTCATGTGATCCAAGGAACCAAGCTTAGTTTTTCCCTTCCTCTACTAAAGGGATCATTTTCCTCTTGGATATGGAACAATTTAGGAATCCCGGTAGGTTTGTGCATCTCCAATCTCTATGCACAATATTCAGAGCCTAATGAGTCGAGTATTAGGAAGTTCTAAAGCAAAGGTTGTCATTAGTTATATGTCATATCCCCTGGCTTTTTGGCTGAATTATATTTGATTCATCAATATTAATATTTTGCAGGAATATTCAATCTTTCCTAGCGTCAGATGTGGTTTAGAAATGGCTATCTTGAATGCTATAGCAGAAAGACAAGGCTCCAGTTTACTGAACATGATTCAACCCCAGAGAGAGGAAGAAAAAACTAATGAAAAGTCAAGGGTTAAGATATGCGGCCTTATTGACTCTAACGGGACGCCTGCTGAGGTTGCTCATATTGCTTACTCTCTTGTTGAAGAAGGATTTTCTGCATTAAAGCTAAAAGTGAGTCTTACTGGAACCAAACTTTCAAACTAAAAACATGCTGTCTGTGGTTCATTTCTTCACTTCATATCCTTGTATGATCTTTCTGATGTAACTCATTTAGTATCACTTCAGATTTTAAATGCCTACTATGTTATTGGGGTAAGTTGGATTTCTGAAATTCTTCTGTAACAGGTTGCACGACGAGCAGATCCCATTCAAGATGCTGCAGTTATACAAGAAGTGAGAAAAAAGGTGGGTCAGCAGATTCAACTCCGTGTGGATGCCAACAGAAAGTGGTCCTATGAAGAAGCTATTCAGTTTAGCTCTCTGGTGAAAGATTGTGACCTTCAGTATATTGAGGTATATTTTCCAGATTGTGCAAATGTTACAATTATATTGTTAGTAAGTCTCCAGCGTGTAATTCTAGGTATTCTTGAGTAAATTCAATTGTAGATAGATTTCCTCTGAGCTATGCCCCTTTTAAGCATCCAGAACGGATGAAAAGAAAATATTTACTAAGAAATCCTTATTAGCTATCTGTAAGGTTTTGATGGTCACAATTGACTGTTCAACTGTTGTTTTTTCATTCTCTATTTGATTATGGTACAAGTTATTAGTACTTTATCCTGGTATACTTTTTTGGGTATTTCATTTTGACTGACTGTGCTACAATACTCGTGTTTCAGGAGCCTGTTCAGGATGAAGATGATATTGTAAAGTACTGTGAAGAAAGTGGCTTACCTGTTGCACTTGATGAAACTATTGACAAATTTTGTGAAAATCCTCTTGGTATGCTTGTGAAATATGCTCACTCTGGAATAGTTGCTGTGGTAAGTGATACTGGATATTTGCTCACTCTGGAATAGTTGCTGTGGTAAGTGATACTGGATATTTGCTAATGATTAGTCTTCTCCCTCATCCTTGTGGTAGCAGCAGAAGCACTAACAGCATAAATGTGCATTCTCACTGAAGTGAAGTACCAACTTTGTAGACTTCATGAAGAAAGTTTCTAGATAGAAGACTAGCCTAGTCAGATATGTTAGATAATAGATAGAGAAGTGACTAATTTGAAGGTTCTTATCTGTGTTAACATATTTGGGATAGAATCTATTATGTGCCAAGTCAATTTATCAATGATTGAATGGCCAACTTTGAAATGCCCACATCCGGTGTGTTGGTGGTTCTATACTGTTTTATGTTCATCTCTTTTTCCCATGGGCTGCATTGTCATCCATCCATCACTATCATGATAATCAATTATATGTTTCAGACTATTACCTTTTTATACTGGGAAATAGAAACTAAAAATATAGTCGGCATGAAAAACAAAAAGATTCCTTTTTGCATTAGTTGTTCTTTGGAGAAATGGTCTTTCCCCTTGAAATATTCTACAAACGCAAGAAAGTATTTTTCCCTTTTGGTACTCATTCAGATGTGTTCTACTGGTCTTGTCAGGTTATCAAACCAAGTGTGGTTGGTGGGTTTGAACGAGCAGCATTCATTGCACAATGGGCCCATCAGCAAGGGAAGATGGCTGTTGTTAGTGCTGCATTTGAAAGTGGCTTGGGCTTGTCAGCTTACATTCAGTTCTCCTATTACCTAGAGCTGCAGAGTGCAGATCTTTGCAGAGTTATGAACTATAAATTGTGGCCATCTGTAGCCCATGGTCTTGGTACATATAAATGGCTGAAAGAAGATGTAACGACTAAACCTTTGGGGATTCATCCTGATCCATGTAGTGGCTTTGTGGGAGCATCTGTTGCCGATGCTATTCAACTCCTGCAGAAGTTTCAAGTCAACCACAATGTTATTCAAAGGACTTTTACTGGGGAGCAAGTATATAGATACCATTTGGCTGTGAATTTGAAGGATTTTTCCAGCTCCATCAAAGTGTATGAGGTTGGACAAAAAGAGAATGTGAGTAGAAGATTTTCACAAATACTTTCCTTATTTAGTTTTTCTTTTCCTTTTTCTCCTCTTAGAAAGTATCCTTCCGTTGTTTTTGACATGCTGAGAAGCTTACGGATTCTTCTGGCCCATAACCACTTAAAATAAACAAGTGTATCCTGTACGTAAAATAAACAAGCGTATCATGTTCTATCATAGTTTAGCCATATACTTCTTATATGATTCGATAGATGACTTTCTTTGTGCTTAATCCTTTTTGTAATCTGCAAATATGCATCTGTTGCATGAAGAGATTCACTGTGATTTACTGATACAGGATTAGTTTCTTAGTTTGATTGTTTTAGTTATTTTCTGTGGGTGAAGACAGCAAACTGATAATCTGATCAATGGGCTCTTTGTAGGTAGTTTCTTCGTATCTGAGACTGCTCTGTTATGTGTGTTTGTCAATTATCATTCAAAAATTTTATGCCATTGTCTTGAGATCTGATAATTTGCCAAGATACTTCTTAGCTATTTGCTGAATTTTGAAAGAAAACTTTCTTTTTGGTTAATTTAGTTTATGCTTATGATAGCAAGTCAGATAGCAGGGTTAGATAGAATGTATGTCTTGCTTGTAAGCTCAGAAAAGCTATGGGTCAGAATGGCTAGAAGTTATGGATGAGGTATTAGGTTACTAGAAAGGCCAAGTATGTGGGTTAGAATGGCTAGACCTAGAAGTTATGGATGAGGAATGGGATTATCTTAAGGCCATCCTCCCTTCCCTTTTTTTTTTTTTTTTTCACATATTCTATGCAGCTCTCAAGTATAAAACGAGTTGGTGCAATCAATGAAATCGGCCCCCCTTTCACTATTCATGCATGCTCTCAAGTAATAAAACGAGTTGGTGCAAATCAATGAAATTGGTCCCCCCACCCCCCCCAATTACACTTGTATAGGAACCTGTGGTGTGCATGTGTTTGCTGTGTTCTTTAAACCCTTATCATTTCAAAGACATAGGTTTTACTTTACAACCACTGCAAATAATTACCGTAAGGGCCATTGGATAATGCCTTATATAAAATCTATTCAATGCTCTCGTAATACGGTTCGTTGTAATTTGGGTCCCCCCCCCCCCCCCCAATTACATTGTATAGAACCTGTGGTGCATGTGTTTGCTGTGTTCTTTACCCTATCATTTCAAGACATAGGTTTTACTTTACAGGACACTGCAATAATTACCAAGGCCATTGATATGCTTATATAATCTATTCAATGCTCTCTTCGTTGTAATTTGTCCATGCAGGATAATGTTGTTCTTTTTCTTCATGGCTTTCTTGGAACTGGTGAAGACTGGGTCCCTATCATGAAGGCCATCTCAGGATCTGCAAGATGCATTTCAATTGATCTTCCTGGCCATGGGGGATCAAATATACAAAATTGCGGTGGTACAGAAGCCAAACAGGAAGTAACTTTGTCAGTTGAAATTATTGCAGATGTATTGTATAAGTTGATACAAGAGATAACTCCTAGAAAGGTCACCCTTGTTGGATATTCAATGGGAGGAAGGATAGCACTGCATATGGCGCTTAGGCATCAGGATAAGGTACGTTTGTTGCACTTGACAATTGACGTTTCAATTTGAGTTAGCATTTATGATCATTTACTTAATAAAGAGAAACTCTAATTATGCAGATCAATGGAGCTGTTATAATATCTGGTAGCCCTGGAATAGAAGATGGAATGGCAAGAAAAATTCGTTGGGTTAAAGATGTTTCTAGATCTCGCTTACTCATCGATTATGGGCTACAAACCTTTCTAGATGCCTGGTATGCTGGGGAGCTCTGGGACAGGTGACTTCTTGGTTTTCCTTGTTTAAATTGCTATTTGAAAGCTTTCGTTATACTTGAGAACTCTCTGCTTGCTTCGATTATCAACTGTATAAAGTTTATTCAACAGCTTGAGAAGCCATCCTCGTTTTAAGGAAATAGTTTCCAGCCGCTTGTTGCATGATGATATTCACTATCTTGCAAAAGCTCTATCTGATCTGAGCATTGGTAGACAGATGTAAGTTAATACTCAAGTTCTCATTTTTACTTTTCGTGCAAGGTTTGAGGTTCCTTGTGAAACATTTTCTCTTTTGAACTTTTAAGGAAAGTCAATATAAATTACATAAGTATGTAAATAGCATAATCTTAGGGATTTATATTCCTAAATAGTCTAAGATTTACATTCCTAAATTGTTTAGGGATTCCTTTTATATTAACTTATATGATCCATATTGATGAATGATATAGAAATACAATTCTCAGCCCTTATAACATGAACTTCGTTCTCACATAATTATAAAATTAAGTCTTCAAGCAATCACACTAACGTTATGCAAACAACTAGTCTCAGCACCTACATGATTCAGAAAAGAAAAGCAGTTCCTCCTTGCAAGCCAATTTCCATACATCATTATTATCAAAAGATTCCATCTAGTCAATGCACATTTGGCAGAAATTAGTGATTGGCCAGTAATTAAATGGAGCATCCTGATCAATACTGATATTTCAGAGTTCTATTTATTTATTTTTTCTTTTTTGAATTTAATTTCCTAGTTCTTCCTTGATGAATTTTGGTGCTGGTTTTTTTTTAGGGTGCATTTGGGAGGGGGAGAGGAAAACTTTGAGGAGATTATGTTCCCTCTTTGTTTGCGAGAGAGAAAATGGGAGGAAAATATAAAGAATAGTACGTATGAGGCTCATGTAAAATTTTTTTACCTGAACTCAGGATGAAAATGAATTGCTACTCCATAATATCACAAAATGTATCCTTCTAATAATATATTTAACTGTAAAATAAAGATCATAGTACTGTCTCCTTTAAACAGAAAGTTCCATTTAGTATTTTAATTTATAGCATAGGTTCAGCCATACTTCTGTCAAGTGTCAACCAGTTGTCTGTTGACTCGCGTCATCTTAAACCACACCTCCATCACTCATGTTGTCATCTAGCAATAATTTTCAGAAGGTCTCAGATTACAGTTCTGTGTTGCTATTACTAAATTAGAGTTTTATATCATTGTTACGGGGATATTGATCATTCTGGTATAAACTGCTGTATTCTGAGAAAGTGATGTATTATGAAGGCGATAGATTTCTTAGTCTTTGGATATTGAACATAGCATGGTTGTGTAAGAACATAATTTTGGAATTACAACTGAAAGCAAAATATTAAACAAAATGTTCATGACCGAGTTTTTTTAAATTTCTAGGACCACTAGTTGGTGTTGCACTGATTATTTTGAATTAAACTTTTATCACTCACAGTGTAACTGAAATATGATTACAAACATCAGTTACTGATTGAACTTTTGGAGTTCACACGTCTATTATCAGTAAATTTCAGTATAACAATGATAATTATATCTTATGCACTTGCGTGACAGGCCATTGTGGGAAGAGTTGAAGCAAAGTGATATACCTCTTTTGCTCATTGTTGGAGAGAGAGATGGGAAGTTCAAGGCAATTGCCCGAAAAATTTGCAATGAAATTGGTCAATATAGAAAGTGCAGTAATGACACGGGGAACAATATTTTAGGGACAGTTGAGGTTCCCAACTGTGGGCATGCTGTCCATTTGGAGGATCCTCTCCATGTTATTAGATCTATAAGACAATTCCTAACCAGACTTGGGAAGTGTTCCATTTCAAAGCTCAGTGAAGAGAAGCTCTAATCCATTACTGGTAACAAATTATGACTGATATAATTCATATGTCCCTTTGTTATTTAAGCCTTTTTCAAGTTCACAATTGAGTCTTTATCATTCTAGTTTCAGGTGTTGAAGATTTCAACAAACAACCAATTTTGCAGTAAGGTTGGTTGTTGACTATTCATTTTGTTAAAGAATGTCCATTTGATAGTGGAATCCAACACTTAAACCATATGTTGATCTTTCAGAAGTAGAAAGGTTGGGGAAATGTTTTTCTGTGCTATATATTACATTGTTGGCTTAAGTCAAAAGCTGAAATACTCGATATTAATGACCCTCGAAGGCTTTGAAATAAAAGTGTATTATCTTTTACCTTTTCCCTGTTTTCCCAACCAATCTCTTTCATATTTTCCTTTTTTTTTTTTTTGATGATTTTGGCTGCAGGTTATTTATATGATACTATGGTTCCTAATTTTCTTTCAAAATCCAGGTATGTTGGAGTGGTGACTGGAGCAAATGTCTTGTGTTCTGATTGAAATTCAATGCCAGTGCTATGCCAACAGCGTTGCTGTGTCTTCTTATCACGAGGTAGGTGCAGATGTGCTCTTTCTATATGTTTTTTTTCCTGGAAGGGATATTTACTGAGAGCAACAATTACAGTGTTCGTGTCATTCAGTAATAGTATGGATGTTGTTAATGGTAAAATAATAACTTGCACACATGACGTAATCTCATGCCTTGAGAAGGTGATTGAACATTAATATAGAGATTAAATTGCAATATATGATAAGGTACAGACGTTCACACATATAGGCGTGCTGTCAATTATGAAGTAAAAATAGGATAGGTTGTTGGATAAAGAAAAAGGAAAGTTGTACACTAGCATAGCACTTCTTTGTAAAATTCTCCGCATGTGCTCGACTTGCAGAATGCAGATGTTGATTGGTAAAGTTTATTTGTGAGGTGTTAAAATGCCTAGTTGTCAAATCTTTGAAATTTTAATTTTTTGAATCGAGAATCGAATGGAAGTACAATTTTTCAAAATTAATTAAAAATAAATACATATGTATTTATGCATATATTTTCATTAATTTTATGAAAAATACTAATATTTAATTGCACATAATGTATTTATATAAATTTCAGTTCTAAATCATTTACTATACGCAAAATGAAAGAGACCTGTTGACTTGTATAAGAAGTATTAACATTTAAAATTTAAAATAAAAATAAAATAAAATTATCAAGCCATTAACATTTCCTATCCAAGTCTATATTTATTCATTATTATTTTTAAACTCAAGCCTTCCATTATCTTCATCTTCGATAATTATATTTTCTTGCTCTATTTTTTTTTTCTACGTTAAAGAGAATTGTTGGACATGAGAATCAACTCGAACCGTAAGATTCGAATCGCATGAATCATAATATTTATGATTAATTCCAATGCATTTATAAAATTCAAATTGTTTGAATCTTTAAGATTTTAATAAAGTCATTTAAAATGAAAGGACTTTATAATATTAGTATATTTAGATAAGCTTGTTGGGCATGGCAAAAACTACCTTTGTATTTATTTAAATTTTCTTTATTGTCTTCACATAAGCTAAAGCTCTGTTCAAAAAACGCATCTCGTCCTATTCACACTAGCTGATGGAACAAGTATCTTTTAGTATATTCTTTCTTACCTTTACAATCGAAAGTATTTTATTTTTTAAGATGAATAGATTATTTGTTATTTTAATATTTATATAAACAAATATTTATTTATAAACAAGGGAAGGGGTTTAATTTGAAGGAAAATGTTAACCTGGGTCTTACAAAAATAATATTTTATTAATTAAATTCAGTATTATTTGAAATTAAAGTGTTATTGTAATTAAAATTAAAATTCAGCATATTAGAAAAAGAAATTTAGATTTATGGTACAATTAAAACTATATGCAAAGTTTGGGGTATTTTAATGATTTAGCCTGCATTTTTTTTTCCATTTTAATTCAGGATTCTTATATGGTTAACTAATGAAGGATAATCTTGCTTTTCATTTCTTGCAAAGAAAAAAAGTAAAAAAGAAAAAAGAATGCCTAATTAATTAGCTCATGCTTGTACACTTTTGGCTTAGAACTTAGGAGCCATTCTGATTCCATATTTTACAACTTATAAGCCATTCTGATTGCAAATTTACAGTTAACCATGGGAACATAATTTTATATTTAAGGGTTTGTTCGGTAAAATTAGCTATTTTGATAACTATTAGTTGTTTTAATAGCGTTTAGCTGTTAGCTATTTAAACTAAAAGCTAAACATTAGATGAGTTAGCTTTTTATAAAATGTTACTTCAATCTCTAAAAGCTAGTTCAAATGCTATGTTATTAAACGTTATAAAAAATAAGCGTTTAGTGTTTTGATCAGTCAAAACATTAAAAGCTAATTGAACGTTGTAAAAAATATCGTTTAGTGTTTTGATCAGTCAAAACGTTAAAAGCTACGTGCCGAACGCAACTTAAATGTTTTAGTTTTATATCGTAAAAGACAAGTCTTTAAGATTGAATCTCTAGTAAACCTGTAATTTATCTATATGGTTAAGTTAATTTGGCTATGATCGGAAGTTTAATGCAAGATGTTTTAGGCTTCCTTTGGTGAGGAAAGGAAAGAAAAAAAAAATGAAAGAAAAAAATAATAGAGGAAAACAATAAGGAATTGTCAATTTTCTTTTTATAGTTATTTTTCACCTTTATGTTTGGATATAATGGAGAAAATAAAATAAATTATATTTTCCTTTATTTGGAAAAATAAAATTTTAGAGGAAAAAATATTATTTAATTAAAATTTTTGCTGTGAGAATTATTTAAGGTGTTAAGCAGATTAAATTATAAAAGAAAACGAAGGGTCGTGACTTGCGACATGAGTTGGAGAGCAGCTTTAGTGAACGCTCAATTAGCACTAAAATCGCAAGATGTCCAATTTAGTGGGAAAAAAAAAATTTTGGCTTAATTTAAGAAACAGGATTTTGAGTTTATAAGTAATTTATTTTTTAATAAAAAATAATAAAATATTAAATTGCTGATACTTAAAATATTTTTAAGATGCATCACCTTTTCATATATAGAAAAGCATAATAATAATAAATAAATAAAAACAGTTTTCAATTTTCAATTTTCACTATTAGTTTTTGCATTTCATTATTTTAAAATTTGAAAATTAATTATTCTATTATTTTATACAAAATAAAGTAAATCGATCATAAATTCAAAATTTATGTCCTGAACTGATCTAAAAGTTACTCCCATAGTTTCAACTTTCAAGTGTCACCTTAACTAATAAAGAAAACATTGATTATTTTTTTAAAACTTATTTTTGCCCGCTGATGTTTGATTACTGTTAATTAATTTAGTAAAATTAAGTAATAGTTATTGTTAAAATATAAAAAAAAGATTATTAAATGTATGTATATTATTATATAATATTATAAAAATTTATTAGTAGACTAGCAACAGTAGTTTTCTTCTAGAAGAAGTGGTGGTCGTGCCAAAATCAGTTTAATCTTTAGCTCTAGTTCGAAGAAGTTTAATGAGCGGCCTAAGTTAATTAATCACAACGTCAGTTGCTAACTAACACTAACTATAATTAAACCATTATAATACACGCACATTAAATTAATTTAAAGTTAATCAAACTAAAATTGAGAAAAGGAAAAAAAAAAAAAAGAAAAGAAAAAAAAAAGTAGTGAAAGGAAGGTGTTTAATCATCAAGAGCTCTCTTTTTGTCAATAATATTTTTATTTCAGTTTAATTATGTGCTTATATAGATATAATTTAAAAGTTAAATCAAACTAAATTGAGAAAAGGAAAAAAAAAAAAGAAAAGAAAAAAAAAAAGTAGTGCAGGAAGGTGTTTAATCATCAAGAGCTCTCTTTTGTCAATAATATTTTTATTTCAGTTTAAATTATGTGCTTAATATAGAATATATATATATATATAATATATATATATAATATATATTATTCACTGTGACCGACTATTTAACAAGACACCTACTTTCTCTGCTACAATTCCAACTTTGTGGTTACTGTCACCTTGGGTCAAAGAGGAACACACTGCTGCTAATTCCTTGTTCTCTTCTTCCTTTTTTAATTTAACCTTTATCTGATAGTCAAATAGTTAAACACTTCTTCTAGAAGTCGTAACTGCGCAGTGCATGTCATGTCTTTCTTCATTAATTTGCAATATTCATGTTCCATCAATTAGTAGAAAGAAGGTACTTCAAGTAAGTACAGTTATCCGCAGATTAGCTAAAGTCCCCCAGACCATCTATTTATAATCAATACTATCAGACTTTAATGCAGAAAGAATCATTCTCTCTATTTTTTTTCCTTCAATTCATCAGGATTAATAATGGCAACCATCTCTTTTTCTGTCTCTCAACCACACGTTCATCATCTTGGTCACCAAGATCTCATTTCTAACCCTGATCTTCACCAATCCCAGGATCATCAGTCCAAATCTGATGATCACAAAATAACCATCAACGCCGATTCTTTTTCATCTTCCCTGTCGAACCGATCATCCTCTTCATCGAAGATATTTTCAATATCATCAACGGTGCCTGAAGAACCCGAACATGCACATCCATTGAGTTTCAGGGTCAATCACCCAGAAATTGCGTCTGGGAACTCAAGCAGGTCTAATAAAAATCTAAATGATTTGCACCAAATAGCTCGTACAGCATCATTTCATCCAATAATAGAAAATCTTAGAGAAATGGAAATGGGTAGGCACGTGCTCGTAGTAGCAGTTCCCATGACAGTGGGCCTATTTTCTATATACAATCCAGCCAATGCATCTTTACTGACGCGCTTGATCGCAGTTGCACTAGCAGTCGGCTTCGTCGGAATCTGGAATGGCGTGCTGATGCGAAGAACATGCAATGAAATGCTTTACTGACGCGCTTGATCGCAGTTGCACTAGCAGTCGGCTTCGTCGGAATCTGGAATGGCGTGCTGATGCGAAGAACATGCAATGAAATGTCTAATGTGGTAGAATTGCTCGGTATTGCTTTCATGTTATTAGCTTTCTTTGGAATTATAGCTTGCTTTTTACAAGATTGGAAATTTGTTTGGATCCCTTTTACTTGTTGGGTTCTATGTTTAGTTCCATTCATAGTAGCTTTCTGTAACAGGGAAGCAACTTAAAATGATAGGGACAATCATGGCTGTCGCACCATATCTTAGTTCAATTTTCTTTTCTTGTAAATTAATCCTTTACATATTTGTAGAAAATTAATATGGGTTCTTCTTGTATAATATTTGATATACGAGGGATATAGTTACTGTTTTCAAATTTATTATTTTCATTGCAAATGTTATTGGAATTCAGGATTCACCAGCTTCATAGTTCAAGATTGTAAGTCATATAGTAAAGAGAGAAGTATATTATTATTACTATTTATGTGACTTCCCTGCAATGCATGGACTGGTCTTATTTCTTCTTGGTTAAGATAATGTCAATTCATGACATTTAATTAATTTGCAGGCTTAATAACAGCCACGTGGGCACAAGCCCTTAACACATTGTTTGGATATGCATCTTAGGGGACAAAGGAGACTACAATCTTTGTCAGTTTCGCAATGCCATTTGTCATCACCAATAGTTTCATCAGGAGAATCATTTTGTCTTTGTTTGCAAGTGCAATGACCCTTCAAACACTCACGTGTAAATCCTTCTAGACACTTAAAAGATCCGCAGTGAGAATCAGAAAGAAACCCATTTGCTTCATTTACCCTTGACGCCTACATGCCTGCAAAACTAGTAAACAATTTCCATTATCTTGTTGAAACTGAACTAGTGATAGAATTGCAAAAGTATATATAAAAAATGACCAAAATTAAAGACATATTTGTATTAACTTGAATTTAGAGTTAAAAAGAGAATACATACAATAGGATGCGATGAATCT